GGGGGGGGGGGCAACATAAGGCAAATGACAGTCAGTCCTCTGCGTGTCACCAAAACAATAGCTCTCAGTGTTGTGATAAGTGAATAAATGACTGAGGGAATCGTGACCAGAAACAACACTCTGATCAACGACCAACCAAGTATTATGAGCAACCACATGCCTACAGGGAAATGCAAGGTTTTGACACCCCTCAACGTGTAAATGGCCAAAATAGTCCAAAGAACTATTTTAAATGGTCTCCGCCACAGAAGACGGTCACTGCCACCATGACATGGAGAAATGTTGTCACATCCGAAACCAGATTGAAGAGCTCATCCATGCCGGAAGCTCAAAGAGTTTGTTGCAGTAGGTGCACGTACGAAGCAACATAGCGAAGTTGCGGTAGGAGAGCGCAAACAGACATGTCCAAGCCAATGAGGTCCATGTAGTGGGATAATCATAGCCATTTTCAGAGGAGTATCCTAAACCTCCGGCGGGAAGAAACATCATTTGAGAGAGGTATGCTTCGTCGTCCCATATACACGTAAATATTTGTTAATTGTCTTACATACCTCCCTCCGATGAGAACCCATACAATGAAGCGATTGTCATCACAACACTGATCAACAACTAACATGTGGTCATTATTATTTTTGATATAGGGAGTTCGGTCAACATCATGCTCAAAACTATGCATGAGAAGATCAATCTAAAGATCGATCGGTCGACAGCACCGTCGGGCCCATTGTCCAGTTTTTTTGGGGAAATGAAGGAGGCACTGGGCTTCATCACCCTAGCCATCTCTTGTGGAGAACCCATGAAGTAGTACAATAGCACAGAGGACTTTCTCGTGGTAGAATTTTCATCGATCTACAACTCCATCTTCGATCGACCACTTTTGAACAGCTGTCAGGTGATGACTTCCGCCAATCATGTTGTCATAAAGTTCCTAAGCGAAGGGGAGGTGATCACTGTCAGAGGAAATTAGAGCCGTTTAGAAATTAATATTTGTGAATGGCTTTGAATGTAGACCATGAACCAATTGACATCCAAATCTAGAGGGAGGGGGGTCTCGAGACCAGCAAGACCATCCTCTAGATACCTATGTTCGACAAAGAACCCGGTGAGGTTTTCCTGTTTAGTGAACATTTTGACACAGGGTTCGGGAACCAGTTGATACAGACACTTCAGAAGCACCGAGAGATGTTCGCTTGTAACACTGCAGAGTTGTCGGACATTTAAATCGACGCGATGTGACACTAGTTGAATATCAGTCGATACTCTTGGACGGTCCAACAAAAGATCTGATCAACTGTCAGGACTTTGGCCTAGCAGTAGAGGTGCAGAAGTTGTTGGACGTCAGCTACATCTATGAGGTCAAATACCCAGCCTCGCACTCAAACATCGTCATGGTCAAGGAAGTCAATGATGGGTGGTGTGAGTGCGTTAACTTCACCAACCTAAACTCTGCTTGTCGAAATCACATCTACACCCTGCTGAAGATTGACACCTTGGTGGACGCAGTGATCAGATACTCTGTCATGAGTTTCCTCCACGCTTCCTCTGGTTACCACTAGATAAAAATGCACCTGTAGATGTAGAAAAAATAGCCTTTATTACTATACAAGGCTTATATTGCTTTAATGTAATACCCTTCGGGCTTAAGAAAGTTAGGGCAACCTATTAGTGCCTCATAAATATAATTTTTCTAATAAAAAAGGAAGGAACATTGAAGTGTATGTTGATGATATTCTAGTTAAGAGTAAGTCACCCAAACAACACGTCGAAGATCTAAAAGAGTCATTCAAAACACTTAGAAAAATTAATATGAGATTGAACCCCTCTAAGTGCACCTTCAGTGCCTTGACCGGGAAGTTCCCTGACTTCCTGTTAAATTTTGAAGGATTGAAAGCCAATCCATAAAAAGTACAAAGAATCTTAGACATGCCTCCCCTGTGGAGTACCAAGGAGGTTCAGAGACTAACCGGTCGAATCATCGGGCTCATTCGTTTCATCCCAAAGTTGGGCAACAAGTGTGTAGCGTTCTTCAAAATGTAAGGAAAAAAAAAAAAACAAAATTTCAAATGGTGACCGAATGTGAGGAGGCGTTCAAAAAGTCAAAAAGTTTCTTAGGGTCACCCTCATTGCTCTAAAGCCCGAAGCCTGTAGATGAGCTATCACTGTACGTAAAATTTGGAAAAGAAGCTACAAGCTCTGTTCTTATTCGAGAGGAGATGGGAAAACAATATCCAATCTACTACACAAGTTAAGTGTTTCATGTCACTGAAACTAGGTACCCGATTATAGAAAAAACTAACTTGCTTTAATTATTTTCGCTCTCAGTTTTTGCGAGTATTTCTAGATGCATCTGATGTGGGTCATCACAGATCATCCATTGAAGTCTATGTGGTATATACCAGAGCACTACGAACGATTGTTAAAGTGGCGGGTTAAACTCAATGAATTCAACATCACCTATGTTCCGCGGACGACAGTCAAAGCTTAAATAATCATCGATTTACTGGCTGATTTCTCTGTAATAAAAGAGCAAGACAAAAGAATTGCCACCAGTGACTAGACATGGAACCTATACATTGATGGAGCCTCCAAACAGGCAAAAATGAGTCTAGGGCTGGCTTTGAGTAGCATGACCAGAGAACATCTCTACCAGTCAATCTCGGTAGAGTTTGATGTCACAAACAACCAGAAAAGTATGAAGAGTGATCCACAAAAATAATACACTGTTTTAAGTACCATTTTTATATCTATTTTTGATGATATTGTACTTTAAAGAAGAGTATTTTTGTGTTTTTGTTGCAGGTATTTCATTTTTAGGCATTTGGAGCAAAAATGGCAAAAAGAGTGAAATTTTGAGCAAAAACAACCAATTTTGGGGTTTGGCGCATGATGAGCTAAAATCCAGAGCACTGGCGCATGATGCGCCATACGCGAATTTTTCAAATTAAGGCGGTTCAAGACAAATTTTGCGCGAATTTTCAAAGGGACACTTGTTCTAAACACTCCATAGAGTGATTCAATATATTTGGACACTTTGAAAGATTCCAATTTGAAGGGATTTGACTCTTAGATCAAGCAGGCACATCTTTTGAAATTTAAAGTTTTGAGTTTTGAATTTTGGAGGGAATTGAGATTCTTTCGAGAAGAGAGAACCAGACAACAAAAGAGAACCTCTAGAAAGACTGGAGGGGGAATGAAAAGTTAGAGAGAGAGGCGTGAGTTAGAGAGAGAAAGGAGGAGATTTTCTTCTAGGGTTGTAAGGAGAGGGAAAGTAAAGATTTCTTCTTCATTACACTTCTAAGAGAGAATTGAGAGAGATTGTAAAGAGTGAAAGACTTGGAGAGAACTTCTGGGGATTTGTTTGGGAAGGATTGTGAGTTAAGTTGTATTTATTTATTTCTTTTGTTTGTAAACCTGTTTTCATATATGAAATATGTGTTTTATCGTATCATTCTCATGAATTATGAGTAGTCTTCTTTATCATTCTCCCTAATTTGAAGAAATGGCTTTGTAAAGAATTGATTTTGTTTTCTACAGTTTTAAATGTCAATAATTTTTAATGATTTGAACTATGATCTTCATTTACTTTTCAATCTAGCCAATTGAATTGTTAAAATGTGTTGAGAATTATATGTTCTGAAAAGGGGATATGATTTTTACAGCAAATGGAGAATTACATTTGATTTCATGGGAGAGTATTTCAATCATGGGATTGAGTGCAAATAAATAGAAAAATGTATTTTGATGGATGTAGAATTGGAAGATTTTAAGGTGACAGATTAGAATCCCCAATTTGGTTCAATTGATTGGAAACTAATGCGAGCATGATAGCCCTCAGGGGAGAGAGTAGTGGGAGTTTTGGAGTGACAACCAGTATCCTCCTAGCCTAACCACAGAATTAGGGATCAAACTCTGGATTAGTCAATGTTTTTATAGCGCTCGGAAGAGAGTAGAGAATAAGATTGCTCCTATTTGATACAAAATAATTTTTAAATATATTTTACAAATGATTTCGGTTTCTTCACAAGCCACATTTTCATTGTAAAGGAAAGAATGTTTTCTCATACTTGAACTTTTCATCAACAAAAACCTTTATTTTATTTCAGCAATTTATTTTTGAAAGTTTAACATTTAGGAAAGTTGAAAGTTTAACATTTAGTTTAATTTACTTGTTATAGTCGTACATCTGCATAGTTAGTAGCATTTCACTTATGTAATTTAATTTCAAATAGCACTTCACTTTGTTTTTATATTATAATAGAATATAAATAACAAGCTTAAATATATTTCAAGCTTCCCTGCGGGATCGATATCTAGGACTTCATTAGAGTCCTATATTACTTGAGCGATACATATACTTGCGTAGTATGTAAACGGGAATTGGGATTTTAAAGACATTTTTAAAGATAAATTATTTTTATCAAAATTATATTATAGTTTGAGTTACATTGCATCATTATAATTAAGCTTAACAAATTCCCGCCGCATCAAAGAGCTGGTTGTCAGACTTCACCTAGCCTATGAGATAAGTGCTTGGAACATTCTAGTGAGGTCAGACTCCTTACAGATCGTGAATAGTGTTAATGGGGAGTTTGAGGTCAGAGTTGAGTTAATGACCAGAAACCTTGCCAAGACGAAGAGGGAAATATTCATATTCAAGAGCTTCCGCATCGAGCATTGCAGCCGGTAGAATAATCAAGCGATGACATCCTCTTGAAATGACTTTGTTAGGGAGGAAAATCTAAAAAACTCACCGAGATGACAATCAACGAACCGGGGGCCATGGAGGTAGCGATCAACGGGTCCAAAAGCAGGGTGGATCCATACATCCACTGACTAGGTACCTGGGAAATAGAGGAGAGCATCAAAGATCCGAGGCACTTTAAAATTAAAGCCGCTTTATACATGTTAATTGACGGAATGTTGTTCAGGAGTTTGACTACCTCGGTATACCTTTGGTGCTTGAGAGAAGATGAAGTCCAAGTTGTGCTCCGGAAAGTGCGATCCGGAGAATGTGACAACCACTTTAGAGGAAAAACCATAGCCTATCGTATGTAACGACAGGGATTCTTCTGACCGACGCTTCTGAAGGATGCAACAAAATTTTCAAAAAGGTGAGAACAATGTCAAAAAAATGCACCCTTGCATCATCAGTCCACTCGAAAACTACAACCGATCGGCATTCCTTGGTCGTTCGCCACAAGGGGACTAGACATTTTGGAACATTTTCCTCCGTCAAAAGATAAGAGAAAATTCCTCTTATTAGTGGTCAACTGTTTTTCAAAATGGATTGAAGCGATACTACTCGCTCGAGTCGACGCAGAGGTAATCCGAAAATTCATGCGGTCCGACTTGATCTGCATATATGGGCTGTCGCTCGTCATCATCATCGACAATGGGTCTCTTTTTGTAAACCAGCGAGTGGAAGACTTCTGCACGAGGCAGGGCATTGACTAGAAGTTCGCTTACATCTCCAACAGTAATTCATTAGCTTACAACTCAATCTTCCATGCCCACACTAAACATATGGAGATTAACTATCATTTTATTAAAAAAAACTCCACTCTAATTTATTTCTAGTTTAATATTTTACTAATTACTGACTAGATTTTAATTGATTAAAATTTTCAGTTCACTAATGAATATTTAAAATAATATTCTTCATTTATTATTTATATATATATATATATATATATATATATATATATATATATCTGTGAATTATTTAATTATTTATTGTTTTAAGCCAAAACAAGCCAACCACAAACGAATCAACATCCGTTCATGTCCGACACATTTACTAAACGAATAAAATGAGATGAACACGAGCTGCTTAACGAACCAACATAAATAACAAGCTATTTTAACACCTTTAAGCACATATGATCCAAAAAGAACCATTCGACGTAATAAAAAAGACATCACATATATATTTAGTAATCGGATAAGTGGTACATTTCATCAAATTTCTCCAACTTTTTCGCTGGACAAAAAAAAGCTTCCACAACATAATTTAAGGAAAAACAACAAAATGCTCTTCATTCAAGGCGAGACATGTTAAGGGAAGGGATGTCCACCGACTTCTCTGCAAAATTACAAGAACAATTATGTCCTCCATTAGAAACAATAAAAAAAAAACCTTTTAATGCATATATATATATATATATAAAATAAAAATGATTATGTATGCATAATATATATATATTAGAGAATTAAATCTACTAATGTCTGACATTAGGGGTGTAAACTAGTCGAACACAAGCGAGCCTAGCTTAGCTCGTGTTCTGCTCGTTTATATTTCGAGCTCAAAAAATATGTTCGTGTTGGACTCGTTTGCTTAGCAAGTCGAACACGAGACATTCATGAACAAAGAGTCATTTTGACAACCCTAATCATGTGGTTATAATATGTTAAGAATTGTGAGAATATTTAAAAATTATTATTTATATTAAAACATCATTTAAATCTAATTTAATAATTTTTATTCTATTTTATTAATTAATACTTTTAATTGATTATAAATCTTTGTAGCCTTGCAGTCAATTAATTTTTTTTAAAAATACTACCTATCAATATATATATATATGTATATATAATTTATGAGTAGTATTTCGAGCCAAAACACTGAACATGAACGAACAAATTTTTATTCGTGTTCGGCTGGTTAAAGTAGAAAACGAGCCGAACACGAGTTGTTTGTGAAAAACGAGCAATTTTGAGGGTCCTATTTGACATAAGTTAATTATAATGGTGAAAAAAAAAAGGATTAATTATACCTGCGCAGGCTGGAGATGCAATTTTCGGCAGACCTTCAGCCTCTGTCTCTGTAGGGATTTGCAGGAAATAATAGAGAGAGGAACCAGCTACAGCGCCTATAATGGGTGATATTATATATATCCAAAGCTTGTGAAAATTGTGCGTTACGAGTGCTGCCGCAATGCTTCTTGCAGGGTTTATGGAACACCCAGTGATTGACCTGCAATTATTTGAATTTATTTTTTTTAATTTTTTATAAATTATTTTTGTAAGAAGAAAATCAATTAAAAATTATTAAAAATGGCTTAAGCAAACTTTGGTTGATTACCCGGCCATTATAGCATCGACGAAGACTACTGCACCAATAGCTACTCCTCCAAAGCCCTTACTCTGTCAAACCAGATATATATATATATATATATATATTTAAGATTAAATTTGCAGGAAATTAGTTCATAAATTCAAAATCTAATAGAAGTTAAAGTGATATCACTTATATTAAATCTATAAAAGTAATTACATCATTATTTATTAAAATTAAAAATATATATATAGAATTACAACCTTATCAATGGGTCTTTAATCTGCATATTTATATATCAGATATTTAAATTCTTATGTTTACATTAATACACATAAGCTTTATATAATTTATACACAGAGATGCAATAGAAGTAAATAGCGTAAATAGACGAGGGTTTAGTCGCTAGTATAATGCATGAATACCTGTACAGATACGCCTATATAAATGCATGGTAGTATATGTATATATACATGCACGTATACGTTCATGTAGGGGTGTAAATGAGCCGAACACGAGTGAGCCCAGGTTCAGCTTATGTTCATCTCGTTTATATTTCGAGCTCAAAAAACGTGCTTGTGTTCGGCTCATTTGCTTAAAGAGTCGAACACGAGCTGTTCTTGAACAAAGACTCGTTTTGACAGCCCTAATCACGTAGCCATAAAATGTTAAAAATTGGTGTAAGATTTAAAAATTATTGTTTATATTAAAACATCATTTGAATATAATTTAATATTTTTTATTCTATTTTCTTAATTATTACTTTTAATTGATTATAAATCTTTTTAATTTATAAATCTTTGTAGCCTTACAATCAATTAATTTTATTTTAAAAATTCTAGTCATCAATTATATATTTATATATATATCTTTGAAGCCTTGTAGTGAAAGAACAAATCTTTGTTTGTTTATGTTCGGCTCGTTAACCTAGCGAACGAACGAGCCAAACACGAGTTGTTAGTGAACGAAGAACCGTTTTAACAGCCCTACGTGCATGAATGAAATGGTTTAAGGAAATATACCGCTGCAGGATGTAAGATAGAAGAACATATAACGAATAAGAAGAAGAAGGTGACAATAATCTCCCACGCCACCACTTTAATATCACTGGCTGGGTTCGGTCCAACCGGCACTGTTGACAATATGTCCACATTGTCTCCCCCAAACAGCAGCCGAAGACTCAAACCAGCAAAAATAGCACCCAGCAGCTGAGCCAATGCATATAATGGAACCTAAAAACAATAAAAGAACACATAGCAATTTGATTACAGATAATCAACTCTAGCTAATTAAATTAAGGAAAAAATAGGAATTAATTGTTTATACCAGCTTCCATGGAAGCTTGCCGATGACTGCTAGTGCGATGCTTGCAGCTGGGTTGACGTGAGAACCAGAGATATGGCCTATGGTGTAGACAATGGCTATGACTACCAAGGCCCAAGAGAGAGCAACGCCTTGTAGAGGCAGGAGACCCTTTTGTGCTATGAATTCTGATCCGGATCCGAAAAATATAAGCATGTATGTTCCGATGAATTCTGCCACCAGCTACAGTCCATGGCGTAGAGAGAGAGAGAGAGAGATCAGAGAAAGAAAATAGTAAATGAAATAAAAAACTTTAATTGCATTTTTGACTAGATGCTATTAGATGATCTCCCAAGAATCTCTAATAATTGGATTTGAACCGTAGACCTTCCGAACTCTATACGCTAAAATGCATCCAGAGTTCAATGATGGTACGCCACGTGACAAGTGAGTTCCATAAATTTTAACCCTGATCATGCCCACTTACCACGTGACGCCCTACCATTGGACTTCGAATGCATTTTAGCATATGTAAACATTTCTCCGACCTCAGGGGACTTCCAACTGGCATCACAGATGCCAACCAACAAATCGAGGTACGTAACACATACATATTTTCATACCGAAATACATACGTAATTATTAATTTGTTAAATAATAAATCATTACCAAGCTTTGAAGTAATTACCTTCTGATTGAGAAGTAAATTGAGCCGAGCGCTCTCGAGTGATTTTGCCATTGTAATCAGAGCAGTTCTAATTTCTGCGCGCAGCAATGGCTGTAAGCAGCTGAATAAGGTGAGAACTGCTGCTTCTGAGGGGGTGATGCATTTCGTTTATCATTTTGATATTTATAGATTGATCCATACATTAACATTTAATATTTTTATATTTACTTAATTAGCAAGTGCGACATATGGAGTGTCATTTCCTCCTTCCAATATGTTATGATCATTCAAGCCATATGTATGTAAAAATTGAAGTTTAGATGCTAGAAATGTAATTAGATATTTAAGAGTTGAGGGGTATTTATGTAAATCTTCCTTTTTTTTTTTTAATATTTTTGTTATAATTGCAAAACGGCCAATATGGCATAAATAACTTAGCCTCATTTTTTATTTTTAATGAGCTTTCTTATCTTGTGAATATTTTGAATGTGAGGTATCCTCCAATCAAATATGACAAGCTATAAATGACTATGAAAAGATATTCTTGTTTGTAACATGCATTTTCTATTTGATTTTTTGCTTGGGTTAATAATTAAAGGCCAAATAAGTTATCTTGAAGGAAAAAATAAGTGCTTTTTAAATGCATTACATATAATTATAATGCAACTATTTAAGATATGAATAATCAGTCAATGATAGCACAAGATGCGAGGCTGGGTCTTGCCTAATTAGTTGATTTGCATTTGTAATATCAATTGCACAAAAAATTAAGATGCCCTTGTGATTCAATTTAATCTTTATGGTTATTAATTATCTTCGCCGTAACAAGCGAATGTATTTTATTAAGGCCGGTCATTAAAGATTGAGTTTTCAACTTATAGGAGAAAGGGAACCTAGATTTTATAATGTAAAATTTATCACATTAAGCTTAAAGTAAATGTTGGGGGAAATGATGACGAACTTGATCAAGATTCTATAGCTTCAATTGGTCATCATGGGCTATCGTGATCTCTGATCTAATTGGACAGATGAGGTTGTCGACCCAACCTGTCCAAAGGATCCTTTTGACAATCATGAGTTGCGTCGTCCAAAAGTTCCTTTATAGACTTATGAAGGATATTTGTCCAAAAGAGGCCAACAGAGAGCTTTGCATCAGAAAAATGCACTTTTATTCACAATTCAGATGACATGACGTTGTTAGGGAATATAAGGACAATAGTGACCATAATTTAATGGTTTTATTTGGCGGCAAATCACAGAGAATTTTGTTTTGATCGTAACTGGTACTTTTTGTTGAGTTGTAATTAGACCAAATCACAATGAGAGAAGAGTTGGATCACACCCACCTTATTGGCGTCATATTATTTTAAGTGTGAATATAATGATATACTCAATATCAAAATTTGTTCGATGTGAACCAAAATCAATCACAAATTTATCACTCTTGTCGAACTTTTGTGGAACATTGATAGAGTTTATTTAAGCTTTATGTGATTAAAAATTTATTTAAAAGCTTCCATTTTTTAGTTTGAATATTTGATTTAAAAATAAACTCATCACATGCAAATAAGTGTATGCAAAGAAGGACGGATCTCATGGAGCTTGTGTGCAGTACAAGACAAGATTAGCGACAAAGGACTTTGCGCAACGAGAAAGGATTGATTATGAAGAAGTGTTCTTCCCAGTAGTCAAACATCATTCTATTTGTTTTCTCTTAGTACTTGTAGTACAATACGGTCTGATCTTGGAACAACTCAATGTGAAGACTACATTCCTAGAAGGACAATTATAAGAGATTTACATGTAGCTGTCGTCGGGATTTGAAGAATCCATAGACTTGGTTTGCAAACTAAACAAGTCCTTGCATAGGTTGAAGTAGTCAACATGACAGTGGTATAAAAAATTTGATCAGTTCATGAGGGGACGAGAGTACATGAGAAGCCAATATGATCATTGTGCATATTTCAAGAAGTTGCCCAATTTACTTGATCCTATATGTTAATGATATGTTAATTGTATCTACTAGTCAGATTGAGGTTGATAAGATGAAGAATCAACCGTTCAAGTATTTTGAAGGAGCTAGATAAAGCTCAAAGAATTATTGGCATGGAGATTCTTAAGGATAAGGCAATTGGAAAGTTTTAGCTTTCGCAAGGAGCTTATGTTCGGAAGCTGGTAAATAAATTTGGGGTTGATAACTCGAGCAATGCAATGAGTCTACCTATTGCATCTCACTTTCAGTTGAGTTCAGATGAGTGTCATAAAAATGATATGAAAAGGAAAAATATGTGATCCTAATGCTAGTGCAGAGGACATTATGATGTATGTCATGGTTTATACTATACCACACATTGCATGAGAAGTTGGTGTTGCAGGCAGGTGCATACATGATTCAGGAAGGATTCATTGACAGGTTGTGAAGAGTATTTTGAGGTATCTGAAGGTTATAATTAATGTTTGCTTAGTATTTGAGAGACATTCATCCAATGCAGATTTACGCGTAGGCTATACTGTCTCAAACTATGTAGGTAATATTGATAGGCAGAGATCTACGACTGAGTATTTATTCACGTTGGTAAGAGGTCCATTCGGTTGAAGGTCTGTCATCCTATCTATTATTGCTTTGTCACCACGGAGGCTGAGTGCATGACAGTCATAGAGGTGTTGAAGGAAGCAATATGGATGCAGAACATATTTGATTACTTGTAAGTTGATCAGGAGTCTCTTACGGTATTTTTTGACAATCAGAGTGCAATATTCTAGATCATATATCCAGTTCATCATGCCCATACCAAGTACTTTGATGTGAGGTACAACATTGTTTAAGACTTGATTGAAGAATGCAAGGTTCCACCCAAATTCTTCATTACTTTATAAGTTGAAATGCATCTTTTCATGCCTAAGTAAAATGATAAATGTAAAATATTGAAGCTTAGGTGTTAGATGCGTGGATACATTTGAATGGAATGATACGTTTCACTGACTTTATTTTGCTATATCAAAATTTGCTTACAAATTATATAAGTCATTGAAATTACACATTTTAAGTGCAAAATGAAAGCATTCTTGCTCTAGAATGAGAAGATATGTTTACTGATATGAAATGATGCATATATGGAAGTAAAAGTTTGTTTGTGGCATTCTTCTGATGTTGAAATTAGGGTACATCCGTTCTGTTCTTATTATTTCAAAACACGCTTCTCAAATGCTCAACGAGTATGATAGTTTTATCTATAAAAGTTTGGAAAAGTTATGCTTTAAGCGTTCATGAAAGCTAAAATGATTACTACTCATATGTACGAGGTTTTGAATTCTAAAATGTTTCTATATCTGAGTTTTTGATTCAGAAATGTTTGAATATATAATATTTGGGGAGACGAACATATACAGATTTTTCTTGATTAATTGCATATATGAACCTATAACACTTAACCTTCAGTTGCACATGTGCAGACATTTTCAGAATTTTGATATATTTACATAAGGAAGGCATAAAATGGATAAGTGCCTGTTATTTTGGAGCATGCCTAAGTGTATAAATGTGTGGGAAACCTCTTGTATGTCAGTATGTGCATAGCATCTTCCATGTGCCTTATATTTCTTTTTTTTTAACTATCTGTTTTGCCTTCAAAAGGGAAGCAAGGAATGATGTATTTACATGAGTACCACATAATTTCTGTTTTAACATGACCAACACCTACACTTAAAATTACATACATGCCACCAAATTCTGATTTAGTTTCATGCTTAATACCTATATTTTGTTGAACTTGCGAGATATGCATGTGGGCGGGTGAGGAAATTATGGTGGAGGAGAAAGAATATATTCAATACATTTTAATCATTCAGTCGGGATATTGGTTGTAGTTTTCATACACAAGATCTAATATCCTTGCTAGTGGCAAATGCACCTTTTCATCATTTCATGCATAGGTTTATAACACCCTGGTGTTATAAATGTTAAGATGTTAGATGTGTAAATCCATAAAATTTTGTGCTGTATATGCAAATTTCCGAATAAGTTATGATGCAGCTGGTTTGGCATACCAGGCTATTTTTTTAAAGATACATGCACTTTAATTGTAAATAGCAAACCAACGCAAAGTGCGGCTGCGGTATGTGCACTTCGGTCCCCTCTCTTTTACATTTACAGTTTGTTTATCAAATCAAGTTTGTTAAAGAGCTTAGCTTCAAATCTTGATGTTATCTTAAAGTTTATCAATTCTAATTGATCTTGAGCTTACCTTTTAAAGAGAACAATCTTCAAGTTAATAGTTTGGAAGATTTACATACATATCACTCAATCCCCTATGTATTTACATATCTTCCACTTCATACTTCAAGTTTTACGTGCATGCCCTCCTAACTATGCATGAATAGATGTATTTCACTTTTATAGGTTAAAATAATGATGCTTTTGACTTGACATAAATGGTATAAATATGAAAAGTTAAGTTCAAGTATTAAATATGTAAAGACAGAGGAGTTATGCGGTTTGTGTGCATTTTTTTTTCTTATAAATGATACTCTGCTGCATGCAAGAAAAGATTGGGTCTTAAATATCTGAATGTGTAAAATACATGTGGTATAATATAAATCCCCCATTATTATTTATTATTTTTTATTTTTAATTCTATTGCTTGGCTTTCGTAGAGGGAAGCAATGAAGTGTCTTTGATTGATCTTGTGCTTAAGATGGAATTTCTTTTTTTTACTTGTAATGAAACTATCAAGGATGGCCTTATGGACTATGGACATGAAAACTTGCTAGCTATTAAATTAGGTGAATGATATGAAGTTTAAGTATTTAAGAATTGAGTGGTATGTATGTAAACCTCCCATTATTATTTCTTTTTAGTTCTCATTTCTTGTTCTTCAATGAGTGAGGCTATGATGGTTCATCAATTGATCTTAAAGTAAAGATGTATTTCTTCCTTGCATTGAAACTATTGAGGATAGCTTGGGCGGAGGCTTCCCAGGCGACCCATATAGAAATGCAAGGATGGTGATAAATAAAGTGAACCATGCTAAAGTTAGGTGTTATATATATAAAACATATAGGAATTGAGTAGTATGTATGCAAATCCTCTTAGTTGTGGCAAAATTAGTTACTGATTCCTTTGATTCCTCTGTTATGAATAAAGCAA